CACAGTGATGTGGTTTTACATCCATGCTCTGCAGATGCCTACAAACCATTGAACCGTGGCCTGCTTTAACGGTCCTCTAGGCTACTAAAAACAGTGTGGCAGTGCGGCTATGCCGTGGAAATCCGGAGAATTGGCTGGAGGATTTTGTTCTTACCGGCGGTACCAGAAATTGGCATTTTGAACTTATAATGCCGAAGTTTTATTTTGTCTCCCGTTTCTGTTAGCAAACTAGAGCAGTGAACGTTGCGGGATGGAAGAGAGGCAACAAAGTCGTCTTCCTGCTATGACTTGTGATAGCTCTGTTTTTTTCAATGTTTTTCAGGTTCTGTTAGTAAATGGGAGAAGTTGATGGCGAAAACAAAAGTTGTATAGTTATAAAACTTTTCATGGTCCATGCCGATCAGAATCGCTACTGTTCCTTCAAATGGTGGGAATATTCGGTTACTAACTTATTGCTGCTTATGTTTTGATGAGATTTGAACCAGATGTTGACTCCACATATGCAAAAAGTTCTTTTATCTGTAACACTGTTGATGCGGATTTCTTTGCGGTTGCTTTTACAGTGAATTATTTTCGGTTTCAGTTGCTTCCCGTTAACTCGTCGAACAACATGATCACGTTTACGTTGGAAAACGGAAGTATGTTCACCATTCGCAGCAGTGGTACCGAACCGAAGGTCAAATTCTACCTGGAGGTCATCAGTAAAAAGTAAAGTTCGTTAAGTTATTTGTGAAAATTACTTAAAAGCGTTTGTTCTGTTTAGAGACGAGGAAGAGGCCAACAAGCAGTTGCAGGTGTTGATAAAGGCCATCATCGAAACGTTTTTAGTACCTGAGAAATATGAACTCATTTGGCGCTCTTAGGCAGATATTTTCGTCTCATGATTGTCAGTGATTTGTTCTAAATTCCAATCGTTTGTTACTTTGTTTTGGTTATTCGATAAAATTTGTATATAATTTTATTTCGTGTAGAGTAGTCGTTAGTCAGATTAATCAGAAATATAGCTCAAGCAAAAGTTTTCAGCTTATTTAAAACTCATATTTTGATCGACCTAATCTTGTGTGCCGGGATGATAATGCCGATGGTTATAGACATTGCAAGAAATCGGTATGCCGTTCGTTCACTTCTGAAATTCACAACTTAGCCGAAAGCTATAAAAAATAAGCGACATTATGTCTGGAAATAAAATATTTATTGCATATGAAGGAATCACCCAGAATTATCATTTAACTTAATGTATATTAACGAAATTATCAACATTGTTCTTAAAACTGTCTCTTCTTTTTCATTGCTTTAATGTGTACTTCTCAGTTTTATTTTTGAAGATCCAGAATGGCCCAGACCTGACGCCCACACCATGCCCATTGTCAGTCAAGAGGCATCCACCAGATCATCTCACTCAGTATATCTTGTCGAACCGAAATGTTCACAAGTTACACTGTCCCAGTTTTAGCGTGAAGCGTTACAGACCCAGACCAGTGCTTGATTATGTTGTCGGTCAGCAATACTTGGCTATATTTAAAGTAACATAGTGTTGTGTCATTTTAGAATGACTTACCACTGTGATCTGCTCCGTGATATCTTCTCAACTAGTTTCAGCAGTATATATATTATATTATTAATTACTTATTTATTCGATGCTGCTTATTTTGCCCGCTTTGATTATGCTGAAAAATTGGTTTTGTGGGATCCTTTTCAATTAGTTGATTTCATAAAACTCATTTTGTTTATGATCATGCTGGTAAAGGATCATGTTTCGTATTTAAGAAATGTTTCACTTTCAGAC